ATGCCTAGGTTCCGTTTATTAGAAGATTTCTTTTTATTTCTTTGAGTTTTCGATATTCTCATAAATTTCGTTTTCTTTCATACTTTGCTATTCTAATCACCAGTCTCTACATCCGCATATCTAATGTTGTTATTGGAAACTCTATTAACATGTATTCCAGATGTTTTATCCTCAAGAACTTTTTTCAAGATCTCTTCGGAGTAGGCGCATTCTTGTTTCACTCCACGTCCAATTTTAATTTCTTCTGAAAGCTGTTCGTTAACACGTACTTTATGCAATGCTCTATTATAGTCAATAAACCATACATATATATCTTGATTGACGTCCAGGCATCTTTATATCAGTATATTAAGTGAAAAAAGAGCTTCACGCGTTCCTAGGCCTTTGCAAAAACCACATTGTGTATCATTAACGTCTATGTCCAGTTTGTGGTATATTCGGTTATGGATGACTTTTAGTAATAACTTTAGCACATGATATATCAAGTTAATGGTACGGTAATCGCTGCATTCTTTTTCCTTTTTCTTTTTGGGGACACAAGTAAAAATCGACGTTAACCACTCTTTGTTTCAAAAATGTCACTAAAACATCAATGTGCTTCTCATCTAGAATTTTTAGGATTTCTATAGGATTTCTATAAGAATATCAACCTTAAATGGAGACCCAGACAAGATGCCTTTAGGAATAGAGGACGACCACCAACAAGATGGACGGATGACCTGAAACGGACACATCAAAATTGGATGCAGGCGGCTCAGGACAGAAATTTGTGGGGTGAACTACGGGAGGCCTATGTTCAGCAGTGGACGAGTATGGGCTGAATGATGATGATAGGAAGCATGTCAGGTCCAGGGCTTTTCCCACTTTTCATTGTTTTTAATGCGTGGAATATTTCTTTTTTTGTAATATATGGCCCTATTTCTTCTGATGTAAGTTCTATGTGCTATAGATCTCCTCTTTCATCATCGAAGAGTTCGTCGATATATTCTGCTCATCTTTGAACTTTCTCGCCCATCTGTCTTATAGTAGACCCATGTCCAGAAGTACACCAGTGGGATTTTGTTTTGTTAATCCTGCCAGTTCTTTAACTTTCTTGGGTAGGTTAAACAGATCATATTTATTTTGAAGGTCCTCGATCCTTTTGCATTTCGCTGCATTTCTGAACCTCAAAGAATATTCATCTTTGAATTAATGATTTCTTTTTCATATTTCATATTATAATGATTCATTCATGATTTCATAAACTTGGCATTTAATTACACATTATACTTATACATAGTTACTAAACGTCAATAGGTAGATGCCATCTAATTCATGCTCCATTTCTAGCTACTTGAAGATGGATGTACATAATATATTTATTAAAAAGTATTAGAATCATCTTGAAATGTACACTCACCCCATAATTTATAGTTTTACCTTGTATTCTTTGTTTTGTATTGTTTTTTCAAATACACTGTATATGAACTATTTATTATCTAATACGTATTCGTATTATGACATTCAGTATAACACTAACCTCAACAGAATTTATATCTTTCAAATTTCGCATAAAAATACAAAACTAAACAATCCAGTTTCAATTTGAAAATATTGAAAACTAGGTCTACTGCTACCGTATGCGTAGATTTCTGCTAATAAAAAATATGTTATCAAGTGAGATACTGGGTGTGGCAAATTAGCGACTTATTTTTACAGTACAGAATATTACTGCAGGTGAATTTCAATGAACATAATAGTTTTGTTGGCAATGGCACTTTAAATAAGAAAATATATTAATAAATCGTAATTTATTTGAACGGAATACAGGCATTATAAAAGAACATTATAACAGAAAAGACAGACAGTAAAATCTTCTGGCCAAGTAGGTACATTGGTGAAATTATGGTAATGGTTATTTGATAGTTTCGATGTTGCCACTTCAGATTTGTTTTTATTATTTACTCTCTGTTCTATTTAAACTCTGCTCTATTTAGATCAAACTTGTGCAGGGTAATTTAACTGCAACATGTCACATAAGAAGTTCAAAAGTTGTTGTAAAAGAATGCTGGCTTATTTGATTCATTATTTTGATCAGGAACAAAAGAATAAAGACCGATTTTCTACCAATGACTGCTCTTAGGGAAGTGCGTTAAATATATTTTTTAATGCTTATGTAGATGCTTAAATATGTATTCTTTTTGGCATTTCTGGCAAATCTAGAGAAATAAAAAACCCTTGCCTTACATTTGAAACTAAATAAAACGATTGATACCAGCAATTAAAAAATGATTGACGAAGCAAAGAAAAAATGCAAAAATCTTTTACATCCTCTCTTAAACATAATTCTATTCCTAGTTAAGCAAAACCTATCATTCCAAGGTCACAGAAAAGGTATGACCTCGATAAATAGGAGCAACTTCCTTGAATTTATTCAGTTTGGTGCAAATTATGATTCTGTTCTAAAATAACATGTTTTACAAATACATTATTTTTCAAACACTGCAACTTACTTGTTTTCAATGATACAAAATGAATTTGCGGTGCAAGAGTTTCAAGCAGAAAATCATTACGGAAATCAAAAACGCAAAATAATTTTTGACAGCACTCCTGATGTTTCCCATTTAGACCAAATGAGTGTAACTGAATCTTATTTAGGATTTTTTGTTCTTACTGGGAAAAAATCACTAGACGTAACCAATTATATTCTAAATAAACTACAAACGATGGATTGGATCTACAATTGTATAGGAGATAAAACTATGATAATGAAGTCACATGTCAGGCATCCATACGGGTGTCCAAGCAAGGATGAAGAAAAAATTCATCAAACTCATGTTTGTGCCTTGTGCAAACCATTTTCTCAATTTGTGTTGAGTTCACGCTTTTGCAATCTACCCTAGTTCTGTAACTTTAGAAAGTAGATATAATTTTTTTTGTCCTCTATATAGATGGGGAATTTTAATTGAAGTTATAGGTCTATCAGAACTAGAACAAAGACAGTAGACGCGATAGAACAAGCAGCAAAACTAAAATGGAAATGGGCTGGATACAATGAACGTCTCCAAGACGGACGATGGAACAATACCATCGGAAAGTGGCGTCCATACAATGCAAAGAGATCCAGAGGCAGAATGAGGTGGAAAGATGACATCAGGAAACAAGGAGGTCCCACATGGCAGAGAACAGCTCAAGATGGAGAGAACTGGGGGAGACCTATATCCAACAATGGAAGGATAGAGAATAGGTTAAAAAAAAATAGGTCTATCAGTAAAACAGCTATCTGACACTAGATGGAGTGCCAATAACAAAGCTGTGAAACCTATTTTAAATCATTTTGATAAATTATTTCGAGTTACATAAAAATTCTGCGATGCCAAGGAAAATAGTAACACACGGGGCTCTGCTGAAATTTTACTCTTGAACGTTTGTGACATCAAATTTTTTAGATTGCTTCATTTATGTCTGTACATTTTGTAAGAAGTAAACAGTGCACATAGGAATTTACAGATAAAGGGCATAAGCCTTGAAAACGTCGTAAAAAAACTCCAAATTTTGAAAGTCTTTTCGGAAGACAATCAATATGAGTTTGTCACAAAGGCTCTCCAGTTTGCTTCCTAGAAACGTGATGAATTGAGCATCTCCCATGAAAAAAAAGTAAAAGACCTTTAAAAAAGGTAATGCCTGGAGAAACAGTCAAAGATGCCAGATTATTGCTCGAAGGTGAATCGAAAATATCTATGCTTGAATTTTTAGCCAAGCTACACCAATAGCCTCAAACTAGAATGCAAAGAATGGAGACTTTATTGTTTGAACTTTGTATTTCAGCTGAGAAGAATTTGATAAGCAAGAAATTTTTAATGAAATCAAAAGACTTCGCCTTCATATAAAAGCTTCAAAAATAAATGAAGAGACCAGAAATTGTTATTTATTTACATTGAATATTACTTTGTTTCGTTTTATAATCCATTTTGCAATAATAATTATGTGATATATTTAATTTAAAATGAATTCAGGAATTTTTTTGTAGTTTGGCATACATGTAGGAACTTAAATCTCTGATGTATATAATAACGTATATCGGGATTTATACTGTACCATCTGTACATAAAATGTATCTTCTTCTTCTTTCAGTGCCCTGTCCGATTATCGAACGTTGGCGATCATATTGGCAATAATAACCTTATTCACGGCGGCTCTAAATAAATTAAAGGTGGTTTCTTGATACCATTCTCGGAGATTTCGTAGCCAGGATGTTCTTCGTCGGTCTGGACCTCTCCTTCCGTCGATCTCACCCTGTATTATGAGGTGTAGAAGGTTATACCTCTCTGGATGTCTCATTACATGACCGAAATGTTGCAACTTCCGAATTTTTATCTTTTTTGTTATTTCTGTGCCCTTTTTCATTCGATGTAAAACTATTTCATTTTTTATTCGATCAACCCAACTTTTCCGCAATACTCGTCGATAAATCCTCATCTCAAAGGCCTCTAATCTTTTCATTAATGTCTCTGTAAGGGTCCAGCTCTCCATACCATACAGCAATGTGGAGAATATGTAGCAGCGTATTAATCTGATTTTAAGAGTTAACGTAATATCTCTATTAATTAGAATTTTCTTTAATTTATAGAATGCGGCTCTGGCTTTTTCAATGCGTATTCTTATTTCTTTATTTATATCCCAGTTATCGTTAACGTTTGCACGCAAGTAGGTAATATTGTGGACTCTTTCTAACTCTATTCCATACGCTCTGATGTTCGTTAGTTGTAACTCCGTTTTGCGGACTACCATAAATTTTGTCTTAGAAGTATTAAGTTTCAGCCCATATTCATCACATGCTTCGGTTACCCTATTTACAAGTCGTTGCAGGTCTTCTTCATTGGAGGCAATAAGTACCGTGTCGTCTGCATATCTGAGATAAAATGTATACGACCCACATTTTGCTACAAATTTGTAATTCGTCATGAAATGATGTACTCCGCAGAAATACAGAAAAAGCACTGCTAATAATTGAAACTTACTGATTTTCCAAAAAAGTCGCCCAGCGTAACCATGACTATACCATTCATTGGAATTCCAATTAGACCATAAATTATCATAAATATTCTGGTGAACATGGTGGTTGGTGAAAGATTACCATATCCTGCAAATAAAAGATATTTTGAATGTGATTTTAATAGTTTTATATTACTACTTTTTTAACAGTACAGTCCGTTTTAAAACTATTAAAAGAAGAGGAAGCATGACAAGTAAATTATTCTTCATATATTATTAATTTATTTTTTACTTCATCTAAATGTTTATGTTAAAATTTACATCTACCAACATACAATAAAGTGCATATCATGTAAGAAAATTAATAATAGTAAAAGTCTAATATAATAATAATAAAATAAATAATAATAAACGGACAAATAACAAATAACAAGTATTGTCAAAGACTTCTACACATCCTTGTACAGCTCGCAAGGCCAGCCTAATGAAACAACAAAGGAAAACGTCAAAAGAAAAATAAAAAACGTGGGATCAGAAGTACTACCAAATATAAAGGGATACGAAATAGAAAGAGCTTTAAAAGAACTAAAAAATTATAAAGCTCCAGGACACGACGGTATAATTGTCGAGCTCTTGAAAACAAGCAAGACATTAACAATCCCTATACTAACAGAGCTATTTAATAGATGTCTCCATAATAGCCAGATCCCTAAAGACTGGAACGAGAGTCTAGTAATACTCTTACACAAAAAAGGGGACAAATGTGATCTACAGAATTATAGACCTATATCGTTGCTCAGTCAAGTATACAAACTATTTATGAGAATTATTAATAACCGGTTAACCTACAAAATGGATAATTACCAACCGGTTGAACAGGCTGGCTTCCGCAAAGGATATAGTACATCAGACCATCTGCTGACAATGAGAACATTGATAGAGAAGGCAAATGAATACCAACTACCCGTATTTCTTGCCTTCGTCGACTATGAAAAGGCGTTTGATAGTATCGAGATGTGGGCCACATAACAAGCTATTAATAATTGTAGAATAGACTCGAGATATAGGCAACTAATACATAATATATATGAAAATGCAACTATGATAGTACAACTAGACGAAAATACAAATCTCATCCCTATTAAGAGAGGAGTGAGACAAGGAGACAAAGCTTTTCAACCTAGCCCTAGAAGACGTCTTCAAAACTACAAATACAAATTGGTCAACCTATGGCATTAACGTTAATGGCAACAAGTTAAATCAACTCAGATTCGCTGACGACATAGTGATTATAGCGAGCACATTCGAGGAACTGCAAATTATGTTAAGGGAACTAGCAGCCAGCTCCCAATACGTCGGCCTAAAAATGAATATAAAAAAAAACAAAAATAATGACAAACACAGAAGACCCCAGACATATAACTATAAACGGCAGTGAGATAGAACAAATCCAGAAATATATCTACCTAGGCCAAATCCTGAGACTTGACAAAGAGAACCAAAGTGCGGAAATTACTAGAAGAGCAAGACTAGTATGGGCAGGATTTGGAAAACACACTGCTAGACAGAAAGACCAACGTTGGAATACTACAATACAACATTGGAGACCTTACGAAAGTAAACGACCAAGAGGAAGACCACAGATGAGATGGGTTGATAACATTAGAAGAATAGCCGGAACAAATTGGAAATATGTTGCTCAGGATAGAGACCGATGGAAGGAGTTGGGAGAGGCCTATGTCCAAACATGGACGACAGAAGGCTAAGAAAAAGAAGAAGAAAAGTCTAATAAAATTTAACTAGTAAAATAATAATAAAAGCTCTTACCGATAGTACTAACCACTGTTATTACAAAAAATATGGAATTGTAGTAGTTCCATTTACTGGCAGGAAGTTCATCACTCATATGATAGTGTACAGGCTTACCGCAATATTTAGTCAGTCTTTTAAATAAAATCTCTATACTTTTGTTGTTACCGTGGTAGTTATTCCATAGTAATTCTGAAACAAAAATTTACTGTTAAAACGAAACGAAAAACTAAGTAGTTTTAATGTATTACAATCTTTAATGTATCATAAGACGACATAACAGTTTTTTTAATTAAAAGTATAAAGTATAGAGTAACCCTATATTGTAGTTCTTTGTAATTTTATATTTATCTTACTCAAAATATGTAAGTTTTCGTTAAATGTTTTTTATCTTATAAATTACAGACTTTTTCATACATGTTATAAAACAGATTATTTACATAAACTCTGTAAATCCAATGCTACATTATAGGTACAAAACAAACAATTTAAATCGATCCTTTTACACAGCTACCTATATAAATCAGAGCCTTTTTGTATATATTATTTACATTATACCCGAAGTACTAATCATAAGGGTCGTTTTGACAGAACGTGAAGCGGTGTTTTTCAGCGAAGAGAAATAAAAATACGTAATAGAAAAAGACACAATATAGAGACGGAAACCAACACAACATGGAATAACGTATTTCTTTTCTAATTTTTTTTTATTAAAGGGTAAAGTAAATTTATTAACGTTTCCACTTCCACTTCTACAACGGTTTCTCAATATTTCGTCGGCTATATGCAATAGTGGCACAACACAAAAAACTGTCAATTTTGCAAAGCAGGTGTTTAAACAATAAGTGCCAATAATTGTGTGTTGTTTGTTTTACTCCATGAATTGAGATTAAAAAAAAAAAAATAAATGTTGGTGTATTTGGGAGAGCATTAGGTAGCTTTTAATGAATTGTAACGCAGACGTCTTAAATTCAACCCTTATTTTGACTTGTGCCACTATTGCATATCAACATCTTGTCTTTCAAGAGTAATTAAGGCAAAGATTTTATTACAAAGGTTATTAAAGGCTCAATAAAGAATATACGAGTTTATTAAGAAAATGTGTTTATTAACAACTATAAGGAGATCCTAAGAAAAACGATATATTGATAAAAATAGGAAAAGTTATTAAAGAAATTAACAATGATTTAAATGTCTGTAGAAATCAGCGTGAATTGGTGGGACACTCTTGTCTTCAATAAGGCTAATAAGGTTTTTTTCTATATTTTTGTTCTTGACAGGTTGCCAGTGTAACCCTTTTCTAGTTCTATAATTTCCATGTTTTCTAAACATTGTCTTGTTTTTTTCTTGGTGGCATCAACTGATCTGTACTCCTTTTGTGTAAATGAAGTTTTAAAAAAGTAGTGAATACCAGAGATTTTTTTACATGGATTTCACAAATATCGTTGAAATTAAAAGTTTTTCTGCACATCTTTATTGAAAATTGTCGCTTTTTAGTATTTAACTTTTTCAGGTCAAAAAAATCATTACCAAATCAATCAGCAGTTCGGATTATTATAGCGTAATTAGTCGGTAGATAAATAGGCTCTCCTTTTAAAGTTTTCATGATATTTCTTTTTATTAAAGTGTGACAGCTATCATCCTCATTTTGTGTATGGCCAACAACTAAACAGCTATGCGTTTTAAAAGAAATTTTGAAATGAGTTACATTCCATTAGTGCGGACAAACCTTCCTTTTCCTAGTTTTAGGTTTATTAATCGTCATCTCTTTAGTTACTTCAGTATCCACATTTTTATTAGATAACTCTGTAAATATAGACGATATATTCCGCATCAGAATCATCAACATTAGAAGATTGGGAGCTAAACGGACTTCCAGAGGAGGTGCGTACCAATTTAGAACTGCTACCTAGAATAAGAAATAAAAGACAAATATTTCAAAACAATCAGCTTGTCAGGTACCTCCTTCGTAAATTATTCAATAGCTTAGAATAAAACAAATAAATCTTGTGTATTGTAAAAAGAGCTTATTACTTTAGAATAATATTGGTACTACTACTTACGATACTCTATTTCAATATCTGACATTTTTAAAACAATAAAATTATTCCTTTTATTTAATGCTACACAACTCCAAAATTCTTACTGATAGAGTTTGAAAATATCTAAAATTTACTGCTCTAGTGGCAGAACTCGTTAAGTATCGGTATTGCACGGAAACCTAATACTGACACGGTTTGAGTTCCACTGCACAACTAAAAAGTACACAAGAAACAATTTATCTCAACCAACATGTCATAGCGACACAAGTGACGTATAGTGGACATTTTAGCTACTATTTTTGTGCCAGTGCTGCAGGTCAAAAGTCTTTTTCAAGCTGTCTGGTGATGTAAACTCAATATTGTCAATTTTTGAGTTAAGCCACTATTGCAATCAGCCGACGATTTTTGGTTTACGATCCGTGTGATAGGACAAAAGTGCCTATTTATGGCTGGTGCGTGCTATCCAGATGTTTGTCGATAAATCGTTTCAGTTCAAAAGAATCGGAGGCTCATGCACTGCACGTTGAACTCTTCCGATGCGGCTAGAAGAGGTACGGTCAGTGTCGTGGTAATTTTACTATGGAGTGATCTTACGAAGTGTGTTGGAATTTTTATCATTGTATAAATTACCCAGCTTAATAAAATTTTTACCACCAACACTAATGGCGTCCAACAATATACGTAACCCTCAATACTCACCATCGGAATGTTCCGACTACATTTTGGGGTGGGTCAAGTGTATTTATCAAAATGTAAATATTCACTAATTTCATAGTAACCTGGGAGGCCAACTGTCGCATCGTCTCTTCGATAATATCGATTTTCTGTTTCTTTTTGACGACCTAAACCAGCGAAGAGTGCCACTCCACAAACTGTCGGATTCCGGCATTAGGCGTGAGCCAATTTTCAAAACAATAATTTAACCTTACAAAAGGTTTAATAAAAATGTTTCTGTATGCTTAAGAATTATATATCTTGGATTATTGTTTTAAAAATGGCGTAACATAAAACAGTCTGAAACCTCAAAACTATAAATGTTTTTATTAACACATTTTTTTGTTGACAAATCACGAGTGAATTGGAAGAAAAAATAATTATTCAGTACCGTTAGAAAATTTTTAATTATTTGATGACCGCTGACAAAAAGAAGCAAATGAAAGGTTAGGCCAGTAGCGCACCTAGAATTTTCCTCTGGAGGGGGTTTTGATGGAGCACCGAGATTTTTTTATGCTACCTCCACCATTTTAAGTCCTTAAAATTTGTGAATAACAGTGTCGGAATAGGGTCCTGGGGGGTTTAACCTCCAAAACCCCCCTGGGTACGCCACTGGGTTAGGCAGGTATTTGTAGAGGATTATCGCTATTAAAGAATGGGCGAAATATGGCAAACCCAATTGCAATTTAAAACCACACTGAATCTAACATTTGAACGCAGTATAGAATGTTCTAGATGTTATCAAATAATTCCGAACTGTCTCGAACTCTGGCAAGTGTTGTGTTGACTTTAAAATGTGACTCAGAAAATCCACAAGGAAAATTAAATTCTTATAGTTGACTATATATCATAAATCACAAAAACTTTTATTGAAAAAATCCTTTATAAACGGTAAATATATTCTACAAATGACCAACTTTTACCATATAGTTAAACTTCATCATATTTCCCGCCAACAAAATTTAATTAGCACAAAATTAAAATTAAATAAAATTTTAATATATTAGCAAAATTATTGTGATGATCCGATAATCAATATAATTGATTAAGCAAACACCAAATACCAATACGTCACCTTCAGACAAATTATCGTATTATGGTTTTGTAAAGATTGTATATGCAAATTAAAGGGGAATGGAATCCATCCCGGCATGAAGTCAAAAATGAATCTGAAAGTAACGTCACATAATTAGCACTTCGCGTAAAATTGGTAAAATAAATATTAGTAAATAATCATATTCAAATTGGGAATTAAAATTTACAAAGAAACAGTTTTATTTACTAGCAGGGGAGAAAATTAATGTGAGAAATACAAAAGTTCTATAATCACTATTTCAATGGTTCATCTTTTGGGCTTTTTTTTAAGGGGTTGTGCAATGTTGTGCAAGTAGTTCAAAAAAAGTTTTATACCCCAGATAAAAATAAAGAGAATGTTCATATAAGACATACCTAAGAGAAAAAACTATTAGTGTAAAAAAAGACAATTAACCCATTATGACCTGGCGTTACATATATGCAACGTTTGTAGACCCGTACAAAATTCTCTTGTATGACCTTATAAGCTATTAGGCAGCTATTAGGTAGATGGTATGATAGGCCAGTTGTTAAAAGCTAGTTCTGTCGCTAGAAGTAAGCTGTGTGTAATAACTTTAATAATACTGTTTGTTTTATGTAATTTATTTTTGGTGCACATGGCTGATTCGATGGAGACCTGATTACGATTTGAGTAGGTATTACAAAACCAATTTCTTTTTAACTTATGCAACATTATATATGTTTTTGTTTAGCTAAAAGTTCTGTTTACATGTTAGGTTAGGTATTTTCCAAAACAAATGTTAATAGGCTTACGCAAAACCAGTGTTTTGTTTGTGTTGCAAATATGTAACGCTAGGTTATTATAAAGCCAAAAAAATTTTGACAGTATAAATTGATGATTTTATTTTTATTAATCGTTATATATGGTTAAAACAAATATGCAAAGAAAATTATAGTTATTTATTAAAAGAATTAGTCAGGAAGGGTTTGAAATGGTAAACATTGATTATGCAGAAGAGATATTTATAGAACCACCGGAAAATTATGTTTTAACAGACGAAGATTCTACAAACGAAGATACTGAACGAACTGTGGATAAATTATTATAATTACTGAGAGCACAAGTCGAAATTAAATTTTCATATTCAATAAGAACTTTTCCTACTCTACTTTAGATAAACCAACTGTATATCTGATGAGAATGTAACCATGGAGCAAGTAACAAATAAGCGTGAGCAAATATTAACATATTAACACTGTTACTGCCAGATAAACCAAAATTCGAAGATAGTATAAAAATAAGTCTTAGATGGTGATTTTAGACATAATCGCGCCATACCTTTTCCACCGTCAAATTAAGAAAAATATCGTGAAATGTCTTGCGTGGGTATGTTCGAACAA